TCAGGTACAAATCCAAGATTTCCAGGAGTAAATCTTTTTTTCAAATTGCAGTAACTACTGTTTTGGAACTTTGACGCTACTTTTGTCGTCCCAGCACAGTGTCAAGTGATTCACTCACCACGATTAGAAAGTTCACTCAAGCACAAAAGACTAAAGAACCTTTAGCTTTTTCAAGAAGCAAGAGTAGACATCTATGATGCATTTTTGCTTGAGCTTTAGCATGATGCAAGTGGTGAAAATCTATTTCAATCAATGCTATGAGCAGGTCACCTCCAACTCCATCACCTAACAGTGATAAAGAAATGGTGGCAGAAAAAAAATAGCCAAGGTAGATCTTCTATGCCTGAAATTTCCACTGAACAATGTTTCAGCAATGATGCTAGCGACTTTTTTATGTTAAGAGTATGCCCAAGTCAACTGGATTTAAAAAGATATATTAGCATATGAATCACTTAGAAATTGATTAAAGGGTACTAATTGGATGAAACTCTTGGAACATGCCTTGCATAGAAATTTAAGAGAGTTATAATTAGAGATCCTTATGCATAAAAATCATGTTCTAAAGTTATTCCAGATCACTGCATTGTCAAATATATCATTGACTATGCTCAAAACCAGTACATGTTAAGCCTCCTTACATGTAGAGTAGTTACCATCTCATAAATTGAAATATCGAGATACTGTGTAATAGCACAGGGTAGTTGTTATGAGAACAAGACCATTAAAAATGGCCCAGACTGTCTTAAATTGATTTAATCGTAATTGCACAATACAGAGTTGATGAAACATGTTTTGGTTTGTTTTGGATGGATTTTGGTGTATTTTTCTCCAAAGAACATAAGTGCAATTTTCAGTATGCTTGTTATCAATTTTGGTTTGAAAATGTTTCTCCTTGTTGAAAAATCCATAAAATCAAATTTTTAGCATCCAACATGTTCTTTAAGGTGCGAGGATTTGGTTGAGAGGGTTTTTTTAAAGTGTTAAAACATCTTTCAAGGAAATGCAAAACAGTTTAAATGCCAAGTGTTTTCGAGAGAATCTTGGCTTTTGTTTATAAAACAAACTTGCTAGCACTTTTCTTGATCCTTCTTTGAAGAAGCTTAGGCTTGTTGCCGTGTGGATACACTGGAGGCCAAAAAATTGGGTGTCTCCAAGTCTTGACTTGGTTTGGTCTATCACAAGATTAAGAAATCTCAATCAAGTATGATTCTTTATCACATGGTATTATCTAGTGTTTTACTCGTGACAAATATTGTAAGTATGACCATTGGAGGATTTTGTTTATTTTTTTCTTTATTTTCCACTGTGCAATTGTCTAGGGTTTTGTTTCTAAGCTTACTATTCATTTGAGCATTTAATAGAATCCCTCGTCTATCTCATTTTTCTAAGCATCTCCTATGGTGTAGATTCTACTGATTTTGAAACAACAAAACAGATTCAGTGTGTATAGTTTTTTCCAGATATGTGAAATCAAAAGGTAAACCTGAAACAAAAAACAATTAGATGCACCAAGCTAATGAATTCCAGAAAAAGAAAAAAAACAAACCTTCAATGAGAGGAATTTGGACCTGCAACTCTCCGACTTTGAGCACATATCAGCTAGTGCAAGCAAAATTCCCTCAAAACGTCGGGGATGCAACGAGCCTTTTTGTAAGTGATGGTGTAGATTATCAATAGCATTGGCCTCAAGAGCCAGTTTTTGAAGATCCCCCTTTTGTGCAATTAAAGCGGAGAAAGCAAAAGGAGCCTCATCTCCAACTTGACCAGGGTCGTCAAGAAGCTCAAGTAAAATATGTATTATTTTAGTTTTGATCCCTATATCTTGCAAGAAGTGGGGAGAGGCGTTCCTTATATCAATCAAGCACATGCAAGCTAGCAATCTTGTTCTGGGGTGCCTATCCTTTGCTAAATCAATTACAGAACTCAAAGGTCTTCCAATTTCAGGTCCGGCAAATTTTGATATAACTTCAGGATTATTCCTAAATATTGTGGCTAAAGACTCTAAACTAGCATCTTTCTGACTTAAAGAACCACCTTCAAGAAGATTATTCAGCTTCCTTAGAATACCAGCATCAAACAATGCTTTCTGCTCTACATTTGTCTCACAAGAGCGAGTTATTATGCTTGCACCAAGTCCACTAACATTTTCCTTCTCGCTACTTAGTAGTGTGATAAGGAACTCCATATTTTTCTGTTGAAGGAAATCATACTTTGGTGCCAATTTTGATTGATAGATCATTCTAAGGGCACGGGCACCAGCATCTGCCACCTGAAGAAAGGAAAGTGATACAAGTTACTAAGATATATGTAAAAAAGGAATAGAATGCTCAAGGAAAGCCTAAAACTAGAGTCCTTCCCTTATATGTACATGCATAAGTATGTTATTGGAAATGGTCAAAGGGGCAAAGAATCTTTCTGAAAGTCTCAAATCTGACATTGAAAAGAGAACCAATCACCACCACCTTAGGAGCAGTGATGCTTTCAGAATGAAGACTAATGAGTACACCAATGTGTGACCTACCAAACCATGGTTAAGAAAATTAAACTTGTTTCCTATTGTTTAAGATGGATGACAATGGCGCAGACTGCACCAAAGCACACTAGACAGCAAAAAGGTTTTAATGGAGATAATAACAACATAATCGGTTCTATACGAATTGGAATTGACAAAGAAAACAATGATTACCATATAAGACATCACAACATTCAGAATTTAGATGGTTTGGCTGAGTTGAGTAGACAGTTAATGAGTTAATAGTACATAAACAGAGCAGCCTCCTTTCTAACAATCTTATATAGTGATTTCTTTCTTTCCTTTATGCAATTTATCTTGACTTGTCCATCAAAACAAACTAGCACTTAAATTTTTTTTAATCAAAATGACAAAGAATGTTAGAAACTTATTTCCAAAACAAATAATAGCTCTAATATCTCCCAGTGATTGGTTATTGCATGACATGTTTTAACGCACAATCATTTTTCCTAGAAAAATAAAAGAGTTCATCCTCATTACGGCTATATTCAAAGAAACAGCATATTGAAATAGAATAGATATTTTGGCAGCACGGATGGACGGGGGATTGGGGGGGGCACCCCTGAAATTTGAAATTCTCATAATTTAGGTATTTTCTATTGATAATATGTTTGCCCCTACATAAATTTCTGCCGGCTGTCCCTGATTGGCAGAGACGTTAGCATCTTAACTGGGTTAAGAGAACAATCACGGCATTTAGGAATATAATCTAAATAAGCATATTCCTTTTGAGAGGACATTGATATAAATTCCAATTTCTCCTGCCTCTTTTTGTTGTTTCCAAATTTTCTCAATATGGAATTGATGTCAAGTTACAGAAGAAGCAAACTTCTTTTCTATGGACTAAAGACAAGTTTAAAAAAAATGTAAACGAACTATATATATATATATATATATATATATATATATATATATATATATATATATATATATATATATATATATGGATCAATTAAAGAGGAACAAAATAAAACTAGCGTACAGTTTCATTTTTGAAATCTAGTATTCTCCTTTTTGTTCCATCAATTTCAAATTTACATGCAAAAACTTTACTGTTTAAATTAAGAAAGGTAGAAAACAACCACCTTCTCCTTAGGATTCGCGAGAAGCCGCAACAGATTAGGGAAGGCGCCCCGTCAAGCACAGCTTGAACACCGGCATCGAAGCCACAAGCAAAGCTACCGAGAGCAGCGGCTGACTGGACCATAATGTTATTAGTAATGTTGTTGTTGCAGTTGTTATTTCGTTGACTTCATCTGTTGAATCGGCTAGGATGCCGGCGACGGCGGGGACGGCACCGAGATTGAGGAAGGAAAGCTTCTTGGTACGATTCCCGATTATTTGGTTTTTAAGCTCGCAAAGGCCCTGACCTTGACCTCATGTCGGCGGAGGCCAACCGCGAGAGGAGCTCGCTCGGCCGGTGCTTGTTGACGGTGGCGCTTGGCATGACGGTGGAAGTGGCGGTGGCGGCCCCGGAATTGTGTAATATAAATTTAAGGAGAAACGAAATTTTTGGAGGATTGTGTTTTTTAATATTGGTAAGGTTTTAACTTAAACACGATTTCAACCGATCTTTCCATTTTCCTTTTATTTTTAGCACAATTTGACATTTCATTTTCCCCGAGCAGTACGACCTCCTCCTCAAATTTCACCGTTAGATTTTCACGTACGTCTCTGAACACCATTCTACGTTAAAATTTTACACATTATTTATTAAGATAAAATTATTAAAAAATATTATATGTTCTCAACATTTGAAATGATGTTCAAATCAGTTCTGAAGCAGTTCAAGAAGAACCAGGCACATCAGAACTGAGACGCTCCTCCAGAATTCCTAAATCAATCCAACGTTATTCGCCTTTTTTACACTACTTGTTGCTGACTGACAATGGTGAACCAAAGTGTTATGATGAAGCAATGCAAGTGGAGTATTCAGTCAATTGGGAGTTTTCCATGAAAGATGATGGACAAATTGAAATTGTGTTCAACTTCAGTAACAAGATTAAAATGTTGCAGCATTAATCGAGGTGTGAAGACATATTAAAATCAATCTTTAAAGGAATATTGTTGAAATTCAAAACAGCCAACAATTCAAAGCAACCAACGGCTAATTAATTAGTTAAAGTTTGGCAGTTTTTTTGTTGAAAAATGGTAAAGGGAAAATTGCAATTAGTCTCTGAATTTTAAGGTATTTATAAGATTAGTCCTTAAGCTTAAACTATAAATACCTTAACCTATTTAGCTTCAAATCATCACAAATCATTTCTTTCTCCAAATACTAAAGAGTTTAAAGAGTTTCTTGTGAGTTACGAGTGTTTTGTAAACACCTGTAAATTTTCTCTCTTTAGTAAAAGATCTGCAGCAGTTCGAGACGTAGGCATAATTGACTGAATTATCAATTTCGGATATTATTTTTCCGCTTTTTATTCGTATTCTCACTAATTGATTATAGGAAAATTACTCGTTTAATTTCCCAATAATACAGATTTGGTAGCCCTTTATGTGCTTTCAAAGAATTCTCAACATTTCTAAATAATCAGAATCATACAAGAGCAAGACTTGAACAGGAAGTAAGCTCGTCCAAATTACATTCAGCTCCTGAGAAACTTCCAAGGCCCTGTTCCTGTCCCTATCCTGCAAATGCACCATCTAGTTTTCAGTTCGAATTCTTCGTATGTTACTCGGGCTCGGATTTGAGTGTTAAATGTAAATTGCAGGAGATCATTTTCATACTGAAAATGGAAAATTTACCTCCAAAATCCGGCCAAGGCTCGAAGGCTCATGTATATCGTCAGAGCGATCCAGAGTCCGATGAATCCATGACTGGAGGAGAGAAAACATAAACATACAATGCTGACAATTGCTACAAGAACCTGTTAAAAATCAACAAATGCTTCCCATTAGTGTCTTTGAAGCAAGTTCTTCATGTGTACAGAATAGAAATGATAATAGACTTGCCAAGGAGAAGGCAGAATATGCAAAGTCAGATGCTCCAAAGTTGACACCATCAAAAACAAATGCTAATGAATTGATGGGCTGAGTTGCAGCAACAAACTGAACAAAAACCCGAGATTTAACGAACATTAGTTCCCGATTTCAGATGATATTTTGTGTTGGAACCTAGACCTGTGGAAATTTGTTATATTACTTACTGGAATGCCTGTACCAATGAGGCGGAGGACATCGGCGTCTTTTGTAAATAGTTTTGCTCCGAAACTCAGTCCTCCCCCTAGAATGACTGCAAGTATCATCCCTAGAACCAATCCTAACTGCAATACTCGAGATGCGGTGGTTGTCGCCTTCTCGTAGTCCTTTTTTGCAAACGAACTTGCGAGTATTGCCTGAAAGTATGAGAAAGCAGTGGTCCAAAAAGGCAGAAGAGCAGCACGGATGCAGTCAAATTAAGATACAAAAGCAGTTGTTATTACCTGTCCAGCTACGGCCAACCCATCGGCAAGAAGAGAAGTCGCTAACCAAACCTGCAAGCATACTTGAAATGCAGCCATGGATGTCGATCCCAGCCTGGCAGCCATCGATGCTGACAGGGTGATGCAGAATGTAACGGCCATAACTCGTATTAACAATAGGAGACCTGAATTCGTACATATAAACAATAAGGGATGGTAATTCGATTGACTCAAAGTACAAAAACTCTGTGAATTGAAAACAATATTGATGTTGGAGACCTGATAGAAGTGAAATTAAAATTACCATTCTTCAGAAATCTACCAAAATGTAGATGCCTTAAACTAGGGGGTAAGAGGTCAACTTGGCTCATTAGCTTCCACAAGAGTATTACCGACATAAGGTACCTGCAATGTACCAAGACATTAACAGGCAATCAAATATCTATATATAGCATGATAAACCTATTGGTCGATGACGATTCGGATGTAACTCACTGAGATATCACATGAGCAATGGCTGCACCACTGACACCGAGACGGAAAACGAACATAAATATTGGGTCCAAAATAATGTTTGTTACATCTCCTGCAACTAAGTTTAGGAAGTGAACCATTTAAAATAGTCAGTAGATGTGCTAAAAAAAGATGGCGATGATATCGGAAAACTCTATTGGTAGCATATACCAGTGGCATATAAAGGAGTTTTAGTGTCTTTAAATCCTCGAAAGACACCTTGCATGGCTAACGAGAGAAGAACGGCAGGAGCACCTAGGGACCTTAATGTCAAGTACTGTTGTGCAGGGTTTAGCATGGGCGAGTCCTGCACAAAATCGACAAATCACATGCAACCAATATTAAGACATTGAACAAAAACAGAGGTTCAAGAGACTGTTCTTGTTGTCTCAATCTGAGTACTTACTGAACCGATTCCCATGAAGTTCAATAGAGGTTTCGCTCCGGAAATCAGAAATATGGCTTGGAGGAGACCAAGGATGCCGCCAATAACCAGTGCTGATGAAGCTGATGGGATATGCCTTCTTTCAGGTTCGAATTTATTAACATCAAAACTGCTTCCATGTGTTTTCGCCTGGTATGGACCGTCATTAGATTCTAGAAGACCAGAACACCAGCGAATTACTTAAGGTTCTCATGTTCAAACTTATAAATGAAAATGATCAGACCAAAAACTGCAATCATGCATACCTTTTCGTGGTATTAGCTCATTGTTTTCTGTATCTACACATGAACCTGTCTGCATGTAATCGCTTTCTCGAGCTTCGGAGCTCACTCTTCCGATCGTATCTTCCTCGGCCACAAATGACGTTGTGATGCTAACGAGAGGGAATATCGCAACTCTCGACACTTGATTGAACAAGGCAATAGAAACTCCTACAGCAGCGAGTTCAACAGAACCTACATGAACCAGAAGATAAGCCGTAAAGAAACTGCAGGCGTATTCGAGACGTAAAGAATGAAAAAAAAAATACCAATTTGGCCAATAAATGCAGTGTCAACAAGAGAAGCAATAGGGTCAGCTGTCAAAGCAAGCGCTGCAGGCAAAGCAATTTGTGCTATCTCCGATCCGAGCTCGTCGAGTTTAAAAACATGTCTGCTCATATAATTGCAGAATATCACACATTAATCCTTGGTTATTATCTGTTAAGGGAAACTTTTCAAAGAGATAAATAAGTCCGATTATAAGTGCATGAAAATGCAAAGCAATTTCTGGGAAACCTGCCTGATATCCTTGAGGAAAATGAAAACGGGAAATCTCATCTTAACACTAGATGGATATAGCTCATCTTCTCCGGTCATCTTCTTCGTAGAACCGATTCCCTCAGCCTGATTCTACCACCTAAAAGATGATAAATTGTTGAAAACCTGGGAGGGGGGAAGGAAATAATTTATAATAAATTAAACAACCCTAATCAGTTATATTGTTTACGCAGTTTTCCATAATAATAGAAAGAACCGTATATTGTTCTGCCTAATTCAACGTCCAGAAGAAACACCTTATTAATGTGAAACTGCCAAAAAGAATTTGGACTCTGAAAACCTCAAATGAGCAACGGTGTTCATCAACTCTCCACCTGAACATCTAATGATCCTCAGTGTCAAATAGACTTACAACAGGGGAAAAAAACTTGACCAACTAATTTAGAGGGATGTACGTCTGGTGGAGAAGAAGACACAGGTCTTGGAAAGAATTAGAATACTAGAAATCTTGTAAGTGGCAGTATCGGATTCAAGAAAAAGTAACATCCATTTGCATTAGAATCCTATACAATGGGCAAGTGCCCCAATGTTTCATGCAGAGAATTAATGAAAACACCCATTATTAAAGTGATAAGATCGTGTCAAATTATGCTGACGCATGCAAGGATCCTTTTTGCTTTAATCCCCTTGTTTGTTTCTGGTTTAGTGCTTTTGAGTCGGTGTTGTGCGATGAAAGTGAGGGAACCGTGAGCATAGAAATAGGTATGAAATAAATCTGTGACAAAAGTAGTAAAAGTAAGGGTAAATTGCATCTACTGTAATTTTATCGTCTAAGGTCACGAATAATCAAACAAAATTCTAACTCCATAATCATATATATTATACTGTTTTATTTATTATAAATATGTAAACATTTAATAAATTAATTATGATATTAAATAAATTTAAGGAATTTTATATTTTTATTTTCTATGAAAAAAACATCAGTTTATTAAGCCTCTCAATTAAAATTAAGTAAATTGGTATTAAAAAGGCTATATTTTTCTTAAATAAATTCAAAATAATTAATATTTTAAAATTTTATGTAATTTTCATTAACATAATAATAAATTAATCTTTAACGCGTATTACATTAATTTAATTTTAATTTTAAAAAATTCAACAACTTAAATATTTATTGAAATTGTACATTATTATTATTTATGCAAAGGTTAAAAATTGTCATGGGCCAGCATAGGTAGGGATGGGTATGAGTCGGGTCAGATCGGATTTTTGATCCACCCGACCCGAGAATAAAGGATCCTCCACCTGAGACCCAATCCGACCAAAACAAAATTGCACCCGACCCGACATATAACTTAGAAATTCGACCCGAAATAATAATAAAAATATTATTTTTTATTTAATAAAAACAGTGATTTAATTGAAAAAAATTATATATAGAGGTGTATTATTGTAATTATTCCTAAATATATAACATAAAATTATATTTTTTCGGGTCGGGTCGGGTCAAGTCGGGTATTTTTCACCCTAAACCCAAATCCGACCCGAACATCACACTTTAAAAAACCCGATCCCGATTTTTTTAAAAAAAATACTAGATCCAACCGGTCGGATCGAATCGGAACTCGTCGGATTCGGGTCCAATATCCATCCCTAAGCATAGGGGAGTCTTCTCAACTAACCATTTTTGTGAAAGATAAAATTCAATGATAGATGGCATCTCTTTCTTTCTAATTTATTTTGCAAACTAAGATTCCATAGTAGACCAAAATTGACCTTCACTGTTTCCTTTACAATCACTTTATATTCTTCTCTATTTTAAAAGATCACGTAATCTTAAAGGGGAGCATCTCTATTATTATTTATCTAACCCTTTATTTATTTATTTCATTTTTCAATTTTTTCAAAATAATATATATATATATATATATATATTTAAATTTTTACTAGGAAATGCAAGAACTGATATCACTTAAAATTTTTAAGAATTTTTTTATCACCATACCACTAACTTGTTTCATAAATAATTTGAGTACTAAAAACAAGAAGAAGAAAAAAAGGCATTTTAAAAAAGCATACTCGTTACCTTCAACTATCCACTTTACTTGAAAATACATTAATTCCCAGAGCGTGAACGAAGTGGAAACCACATATGCTACAACAATGATTTAATTAAGAAGTTGAGATTATAATTAGTGGTTTAATTTTACAAAAAAAAGTAATTATTGTTGATGCATAAAAGTTTAGGGTGATGGACGATGATAGTTCACGACATGAGATGATGGTAAGAGCTACTAATAATGGAGGGTTTTCTCTTCTCTTAAAATTTGGTGGGTATCATTTCTTGTAATCAAAAGGGCTTGACTTGGACCATGGTGTGGACCTCATTATTATAATTATGTAGGGTGACTGCAATGTATAGAGTATCTCATTGGATGATGTAATGAGGTCATTTGATGATAATAATTATAATATCTTTTTATAACATAATATTTTATTTATGGGTAAGCTACAAGTTTACCCACATTTGTTTCGATTTTATCTAGTTTGATCATCAATTTTAAAAAATCATTTTTAAGTTACTTATCGATTTGTTAAATTTTGATTATTGAGTTGTTAACTCTTTTTTACTTTGATATCGTGACATGATAAAATTTTTGTTAATTTCTAATTCACCTATAGATTTTAGATAATATATCAATTTGACCTAAAATTTTATCACAACCCCGTCATCGGTCACCATCTAACATCATCAAAACCACCATCAGTTGTCATTGTTGAGAGCAGTTGAACTCTAAAAATTTCAGTCCACTTTTTTTAACCTCCTGAACATGAATTATGTGTTCGTTTCACTGAAAAATATCTAGCTATAGACTTATATAGATCATTTTTACATCAAAGTATTTTCTAATGAAACATACATCAGACTCTTGTGCATAAGAGTGAAAAATGATGTATTGAAAACCTTGGGTTCCAACTGCTATTGACGACGACCATCATGATGGCCAACAATAGTGGTAAGTGGTGGTCCAATCTATTCCTGGGAAAGCAACCAACTTAGGTTTAGATTACAGATATGAAGATAATTTGAAAAGAATATATATATATAAAGCAAAAGTAGGATGTTCATGTTAGGCTATGAGGAATTCAAAAGTTTGTCAATAATGGTACATGCTGCATTCCACCAGCGCTTTGGATGATTAACGCCGACATCTCCTAATTCTGTCTTGCTAGTGCAGCGTCAACTACCATGGTCAGGTGACAAATAAGATTCGTAACAAATAAATTATTTAAAGTTTTATTTATTTATAAATTAAAAGATATTGAAGCATAAACATAATAAATTAGTAACAAATAAAATTCGTATAAAGAGGGGTATGATGGCTAATGCAAAGCGTGACACATGTAAGCATCATATATCTACAATATTACCTACGAATATCGATTTGTACGCCATTCATCGAGAAACTAGGGAAGTAGGAACACAAAAACTGTGCCAGTGCTTCAGATAATCATAAAACCAAAAATTCACATTCAAAACAATATTATCAAGTCAATAATCTTCCATATAAATGCATAATTTGTGGTAAAGACTTATTGGTTTGCTCTATTTTGTGGACCTCGAACTCAAATATATATATATATTCATTTTCCGACCCCCCCTCTAAACCCTGACATAAAAGATTATTTCTGAAAGGTAAAGACAAACCTGCTTTCGATGTGAAGAAGAAACTGCGATCTGCAAGGTTCGGTGAGATATTCTTCTACCTCAGTGTATTTGCAAATTTTATTACCACAAGCCGAGAGCCTTTCACCAGATGCCTCCTACTCCGAGCCAGATAATAAGATTCACGACCGATATCAGGAAACCATAACCCCACCACTTGGCTAGTGGTACATAGCCAGCCCCATAGAAAACGGGTGCAGATCCAATGCCATAATGAGTGATGCCACCCATAAGGTTGGAGAGGAATGATAGAACAAGGGCTCCCAAATACGATGGAGTGCCCAAAGCACTAGCCACGGACAAGAAGGCTGTAACATGACACCGAAATGAGCGGCTCCGCTGGCAAAGAAGTAATGCGAGTAGAAATATAGAAGAACCAGAATGCCAAATGACATTTGCCATGAAAGACCTAACCCACCAACAACCTGTAAAAAATAGCATAGGAAGATACTAAACTATTTAGTTATATTACAATGTAAAGCACAAGTATTTCAACATTTTGCATTCTTTTAAGAGAAGATATAAATTGCCAACTGTTTTCTGGTTTTTCATTTCGAGTAAAGCATGAACCATGAACTGATTCCAGCTATATTTCAGCACTGGATATAGATTACAGTGATGGTACTTAGGTGATCGGGTGATTCTGTATGAAGTAATAGTAACCGGCACATGACCGAAAGAAAATAAAGTAAGAGTAAAAGGAAAATGGAACAAACCTTAACAACAGTTTGACTAAACCATGCGATGAGACCATATTTGTTCAAATACCCAGCCATAGCAATGAGTGCAGTAAACCATGTAAGTGTATTGCATGCAACTGATTCAGCGAGACACTCCTTCCATGTGACTACCCCAGTCACAAGTAGGATAGATAACCCAAGAATGGCAGCAGTAACACCATCCACATTTAAAATCCCTCCAAAAATCCAGAGCCCCACCTAATGCAACAGAGGAAGGTATGTGAAAACTCATGGGAATATACAAGCTCTCGCATGTGTAGCTTTTACATTCATTGGTAGCAGCAGCCACTATTACTCATTCCATCGTATGCACAGTAAAGAGTTCCATCTAATGAGAGCACACAGAAATACAACCATAAATAGCATTAAAATTCTATTCATCAGTTTAGAGCAATCAAGATATTACTGAAGAATATAAAGGTGAATGCAATACAGAAAAGCCCAGTAGATTTCAGTTCCTGTACTGCTATACCAAGATCAAGGATTCAAATAAATAACGAGGCACCTACCGATTCTATCACAGGCACAATTCATTTCCAGCTAATGAAATTGAAGCACTGCTTTCTGCAAGGCAATCACAGTCTTGATATCGTGATGTCTGAATCCAGCTACATAACAAATGGAAAACCAGATAGATTGTAGTATTTCCTCAAAATCCTACATATAGCTAACAATCTTCAGAAGTATTCCATATTAATTAACCAAATTAATCTAGCCATATACTTTCGAAGAGTAGCTCTGCAAGGAAAGACGAGGTAAAAAGCAACTGAGACATGTGCCAGTTCCATAAGGTCAAGCTCGAAAACTATCTGTAGAATTCAACAAAACAAGTACCACAATCAACACCTAAAAGGCTAAAACTCGACATCTACATCGATAATTAAACTAGATTAACTACTGTAAACGAAGGCACAAAAATATGTATCTTCTCCCCAACTAAAATGTAGCTACAACCGTGATCACATACCAATATGGTCCCAGGTCCCCTACAATTATTTTTCCAATTCGACATTTCAACTTGATAGATTTGTGATAGCGGACAAAACATACTACCCAAGTTATATAGGCATTAGAAATAAACAAAACAAAATAACCATATTCATAATGAATCAAAGGGTAAAAGAAGTGTATCAATAGAGTATTAATAATATTATACCGTTAGAAGCAGAGTCCCAGCCATAATAATCTCATTCTTGGTCATCGGTCCCTTTTTCTCCAGCTTCTCCTTAGCTAGCCTTGGCGCATCGGGACTAGTCTTCACCGTTGGTGGATAAATAACGTACAAAATCAAAGGCACAACAAGCAACGAAACTAAACCCGGCACGATTGCCGCTTTAGCCCAATCCGTCCATCCAATCTGCTGTTTAATGGTATTGAAAGCTAAATTAGCACTTAAAGGATTCGCCGCCATTGCTGTTAAAAACATGGAAGAAGAAATAACGGAAGTCTGGAAACATGTCAGCATTAACCAGATCCTAATCTATTTTCCGTTCCGTCACCCACGTTGCTTCCACACGCTACACAGAGAGATTTGACTAAAGGGAGGAAAATTCCTCCTGCCCGTGCCGATACGGACGGAATTGCTGGCGCTAGTAATGCTTCGCTGAAGACTAAGCTGTAGCCTAAACCTAAAGAGGAGGATCCGAATAGGGAAACGAATTGGTAAGCTATTCTGTTACCAAGTCCAGTCTTGATGAAGCCGCGAGCGAAGAAGAAGGCGAGAGCAATGAGTGACAGTATTAAGAATCATTAATATTTGCTCGTTATTTCTTCGATTTTGTAGATTTATTATTGTTGATTTGATCGTGTTGGTTTATTTTCGTATAGGTCCTTACTTTCCAGAATTAATGATAAAACCGGTGAATTCTGCATTTTTATTATTATTTAGTCATGACTGGAGACATAGGCATGACTCTGGGCACGACGTGATCTGACGTGGTAGTTTCTAGAAGGTCCAGTCAGCACCGGTTTCTAGATAATTTCGTCTGCACGCCTTCTAGAATATTGACGAGCAGAGTTGCACTAGGAGACTAGTTTACGTTTGAATTTAAATTTAAAAACAATTATATTTTATATTATTTTATTATTTTCTTTGTTTATCATTTAGGCTTTGAGAGACTATAAATATCCATTTGGGGTAAGCCTAAACTCGTCATCCAGATTACATTCTTCTTTTCTCTCTTGTTTTATTTAAGCTTTTTCTTTTTATTTTTCAAAGTTTTTATTTCTTCTTTATTTTTCAAGTTTTATTTTTATGCTAAGTATGACTTTTGTCATGCTTAGTTAAGCTTTTCATAAGCCGAGAGCTGTCGCGATGATTCAATTTCAACGAGAAAATTGAAACGGTCCCTTAATATCTTCGGAATATCTCTCTCAATCTCTGCGCTTATTTTTCAAAATCAAAACAGTTTTCAAAATCAAAGATCGACTTTGGTCAAGAGGTTGTTGCGATTAAATGTGTGGGAGGAAGATTCGGCTTATAGAAAGCAAATTCGACTTCCTGGGAACATACTTGGCGAGATGGCTTCACCAAGAGGGAATTGAGACTGGAATTATCGTTTATTGAAGCAACAATCCGAGTTGGTCGCCACGAACTTAAACGGTAATTGATCTACGACAATTGATGTTGATAAAATCAATTCCCGAAGCCGGAATCAAAGGTTGCCTTGGGTATTCGGTATACAAGATAGAGTCATGAGGATAGTCCTTGTAGACAAAGTAACCGACGTGAATCCCGAAGAAAAAATCTTATTCGATGATTTAAAGGAAATTGAGTCAAAGCGAAGCTTGAGGCTATTTTTACCGTATTTATTCATAAACTTTATTCTCTTATTTTTTATTTAAATTACTTTTATTTATTTTTTCCATTTTAATCTCATATTACAAACCCTTTTTTTACTATTTTCGCCTGATTAGAACCATTCAAACATTAAATTGTGATTTTCTAAGTCCCTGAGGATTCGACCCTTATTTCTCTATACTACGTATTTCCTTTATTTATTGGTTGAGAATAAGGAATTTATTTTGACACCGAAACGACAGTTGTCAAATTGGCGCCGTTGCCGGGGACTTCGCCAAAGTTATTAATTTTTTTGTTTGCTTTTGATTTATGACCAAGACTAATCCGGGCACATTAGTGGAGTACAACCCGGAGATCGAAGCTGAAGCTAGGAGACTCCACGCACAGACACCTCGGGAAAGAAGGAGGCACCAAACAAATCCAGAAGAAGAATCAAACTCAGGTGAATTCGCTAATACAATTCCGATGGTCGAACCTACTATTCGAGAGTTAGCCGCGGCACCCACTGAACAAGGACCTATGTGCATTGATTTTCCCCAAGGCGAAACTCCGTACCAGTTGAAGACCGACCTTATTCATCTCCTCCCTACATTCCGCGGATTGCCAAACGAGAATCCACACCAACATCTCAAGAAATTTCACATGGTCTGCTCCAGCATGACACCACATGGAGTAACCGAGGACCAAATAAAACTTAGAATTTTTCCTTTTTCCTTAGCCGAATCGGCTAAGGAGTGGTTATTTTATCTACCTCCTAATTCTGTAACTACATGGGCTCACATGACTCGTCTTTTTCTTGACAGGTTTTTCCCTACGGCAAAAGTAAGTGAACTACGCAGAAGAATACTTGGAATAAAGCAGCTTGATGGAGAGTCACTCTACGACTACTGGGAGCGGTTTAAGAAGTTATGTTCTAGTTGCCCATAACATGAGTTAACCGAACAAACACTCCTTCAATACTTTTATGAAGGATTATCTCCCCTGAAAATGAAGATGATCGATGCAGCCAGCGGTGGAGCCTTGGTGAATATGACTCCTACTGAGGCAAGAGACTTAATATCGACGATGGCTGCAAATTCCCAACAGTTCCGCACAAATAATGAACCTTCTCGAAGGGTTCATGAGATAAGTTCATCTTCCTTAGAAAATAAAATAGACAAGTTAACTGAAGTCGTAAACTCTCTTATTGTAGGAAAGACAGGACAAAACCGATTATGTGGAATATGTGCACTACCTGATCATCCAACAGACGGTTGTCCATTGATTCAAGACGATGCAACACCTCAAGTCAACGCAGTCGGAAACTTTCCGGGAACTCCCCAAAGAGCTTATAATCCTTATGGTAATACATACAACCCAGGATGGAGGGATCATTCGAACTTCAGTTATACGCAGAACCCGAGACCGAACCAAGGCTATCAAGCGAGACCTCCACCACCGCAACAACTGCAGAAGCCATCATTAGAATCGATTATCGAGAGGTTAGCACTATCTCAGGAAAAATTCCAGACTCGAACTGAAGCCCACTTCCAAGAGATGGACAAACAGATAAGCCAACTGACTCAAGCCGTAGGGAGATTAGAGTCACAAAGGAGGCTATCATCACAAAATGAGCTGAATCATATAGAGAATGTTAGCGCCATCACCCTCCGAAGTGGTACAATTGTTGAACAACCAGATCCAAAGGAAGTAAGCACAGGATCCCGGAAGAAAGAAGAAAATTCGAACTCCCAGGAGGAAGAAGAAGCAGTTGACACAGAATCCCGAGAAAATAATGAAGATGAATCAAAAATTAATTCTGCGCCATCTCCCTATGACATTCCGCCTCTGTTTCATGAAAGATTCATTAAAAGAGACAAGCAATCAGAGGAGAGGGAAATCTTGGATGTATTACGGAAAGTGGAAATAAATATTCCGCTTCTTGATATAATCTGGAGAGTACCGAGTTATGCCAGATACCTTAAAGATCTCTGCACTAATAAAAGACGACTGACCGAAAACGAGAAGGTAAATTTGGGAGAGCATGTCTCAGCTATTTTCCAACGAAAGTTACCACCGAACTGAAAGACCAAGGTAAGTTCGCAATACCCTGTAAAATTGGTAAAATTAGGATTAAGCGAGTCATGTGCGATCTAGGTGCCTCTATCAATGTATTGCCTCTCTCCGTCTATAATTTAATTTCCACCGAGCTTTTGAAGGAGACGAGAGTTACACTTCAGCTCGCCGACAAATCAATTATTCGTCCTGAAGGACTCATAGAAAATGTTCTAGTAGAGGTAAAATAATTAATTTTCCGTGCTGATTTTTATGTGATTGATATAGAAAATGATCGTAGCCACATTGGTTCTGAAATCCTCCTCGGTCGTCTCTTTCTGAGCACGGCAAATACAAAAATTGACGTTCGAAGCTGTATTTTTACTATGGAGTTCGACGGTGAGATCGTAAAATTTAATGTTTATAAAGCAATGAGATATCCGGATAATGTGCATAGTATCAATTTTGTTGGCGTTACTGAGCTTGTTGATGATGAATCTAACTTTTTTGATGATTTATATAGGAAATCGGATAATAAAAAAGACGACATAAGGGAGTTGAAAAATATTTCAATTGTTGATCTAGATTTGATCTTAACTCCTTTAAACACTGAAGATTTACCTTCCTTTTTGCAGGCACTAAAAATTATGTCAAGTAATCGTTTAAAGAAATCAGTTTTTGGTAAAAAAAATATGTTTGGATGGACATTCTTTTTAATTTGGGAAAAATCCGAAGAAATCTTTATGAGAATTTTCGAATTTCTCATAAGAAATTTCTTAGTTGGAAAAAGCGAATGAAGTGGAAGTGTCTGTCACGGAACCTGTAGTCTGAATCAGGTCATCGAGCCAATGATGTTAAACAAAAGCGCTTCATGGGAGGCAACCCATTGTTTTCAATTGCGTTATATTTTATTTTTATTTTTTTTCTTCGATCAAGCATGTTTAATTTATTTTTTATTTTTTATTTTTTTGCAGGAATCGAATATTTTTATTCAAACTTAAACGATGAGGATTTGTGAAATTATGATTCGAACATTGCTGATTTCGGAGTATATTAGTCAGTAAAAATTTGAGAAAAGCAGAAAAAGGGGAACCCAGTTGTGCGCACCGTTTCATTAAATGGCACACGTTAGCAAATCCCAAGGGAGAGCTCGGCGCACGTTAGTCAAACCCAAAATTATTTTCCCCTATTTTGATTCCTCTACCGCCCACTTTCTCCCCTTCCCCTTTTCACTATGTCGTGGCCCCCACCTTATCCCATCAATCCATTCTTTCTCAATTTTCACCACCCATTATCCTAAAAAATAACATCCACTTTGACTCAAACACCCCTCGCACGCACGACACTACCAGACTAAACCCAATTAAACCAAACTTCTCATCTTCATCTCTTCATACCCGATCGCCTCCCCAACGCACGAACCATCCCCTCCTCACCGGCGGTATCAATGAAGAACTCGTTTCGTTCATGCTAACGTGCTTCAAACCGTCCACTCCTCTCCACTCCACGATGGTGCGCACAAGAAACCAGTAGGGCGACGCCACAGCTCGTTCACCCCGTCGTCCTTGGTGGACGTCGCCACCTCAACGTTTCGGCCTTTATTGCCATCCCGAGCGATTCAGACTCCCTTCCGTCGCCACATGCTCCTCTCTCTCG